TGGAGTTAATTCAACTGCTGAAACAAGGAGGCTTCGATCTGCACAAATGGGCTTCCAATTGCAGGAATGTAGCTCACGGTCACTCCGACGTTGTAGATCTCATCAAGACAAATAAGCAACAGATACTAGGACTGGTCTGGGAAACGCAAACAGATGAATTTATCATCTCCTGGAACATCTCTGATTCGAAGGAGACCCACACTAAGAGGGAGCTTCTTGCGGAAATAATGAGGCTCTACGACCCGCTAGGCATATGCGCACCCATGATCTTCAGGGCAAAGTGCATACTGCAGGAACTTTGGAAGGTGCCTAACGTACAATGGGATGACTCGTTACCGGATTCAATACAAAGGGATTGGAATAGATTCCGCAAGCAGGTTACGGGTGAAATACAAATACCTCGATGCATTCGTCCGCCATCATCCAACCAATTTGAACTACACGGATTTGGAGATGCATCTGAACTCGGATATGGATGTTGTATATATGTCCAAGCTCTCTTCGAAGAGCAAACCGTAACCACACGACTGCTATGCGCCAAATCGCGGGTAGCACCGTTAAAGAAATCAACTATTCCACGGCTGGAACTTTCAGCAGCCTTAATTTTGGCCGAGTTGACACAAAGGGTAAAGTTGGCGATGAAATTGCATTTTCGGAAGGTTATACTATGGACTGATTCAACCATCACGTGGCATCGAATTCAGTCGGATCCATCGCGATTCTCCACATTCGTCGCTAACCGAGTCATGAGAATTCAGGAATTATCAGCTCCGGAATAATGGAGGCACGTTCCTGGAGAATTAAACCCAGCAGATATAGTTTCCCGAGGATGTTTGCCGAACGCGCTAAGGGATTGCGAGACATGGATGCACGGGCCGAAATTCTTACAAGGGGATACAAGTTGTTGGCCTAACAACGTTTTACATCAAGATGACAGCGAAACCGTAGCGGATCCGGAGGTGAAGCTGACATCCAAGTCTATTGTATGCAACATTGGTTCAAGCGATCCACTAACGTCCAGATATTCCAATCTTAATCGACTGCTGAGAGTGACGTCATGGATTTTACGATTCATCAACAATGTTCGAGGATCGTCCACATCTAAGGTTCTAGGACAACTACAAGCATCAGAGTTATCCAAGGCTCTCGAGGTATTAGTACGGCAGGCACAAAGGAAGGATTTCGAAAGGGAAATTAATCTATTAACAACCGGCGCAGAACTCCGCAACAACAGTTATCTAACGCATTTACGACCTTTCTTAGATGACAACAGCGTCTTACGAGTAAACGGAAGATTGCATAATGCAGATATAAACGAGGATCAACGGCACCCAATGTTGCTATCAAGCAAAAATCCACTCAGTACACTTCTTGCGCGACATCATCATGCGTCCAATTTACATGCGGGTCCTCAAGCACTGTTATACTCCCTGCGTCAACAATTTTGGATTTTAGGAGGACGGAATTTATCGCGAAGGATCGTGCACGAGTGTGTAAGGTGTTTTCGAGCGAGGCCCAAGTTCATCCACCAATTGATGGGTCAGCTACCTCCTGCCAGAGTCAATCAGACTCGCCCATTTTCAAAGGTAGGCGTGGACTTTTGCGGACCATTTATCTGTAAGCCAAGGGTTCGCAGCAAGGCCTTACTCAAAACCTACATTTCGGTCTTCGTCTGTTTTGTGACCAAGGCGATCCACCTGGAGGTGGTCACAGATCTAACTACGGAGGCGTTCCTTGCGGCGCTCAGGCGCTTTATCTCTCGTAGAGGGCGATGCTCAGATATCTACAGTGACAATGCAACTAACTTTGTAGGAGCAGATCGCTCACTCCAGGAACTGAAGAATCTGTTCGAAACTCAACGTCACCAAACAACTTTGCACAACGCTTGCTCCGAGGAGGGCATAACTTGGCACACCATACCACCCAATTCGCCTCATTTTGGTGGATTATGGGAGGCTGCCGTCAAGGCTGCTAAGCACCATCTTAAACGTGCATTGGGCTCGATGTCTTTCACCACCGAAGAGCTTAATACCGTAGTAATTCAGACTGAGGCTTGCCTGAACTCGCCGATCACACCTATGTCTACTGATCCAGCGGACTTAGAAGCTCTCACGCCAGGGCATTTTCTGGTCGGAGCTCCTTTAAATGCTCTGCCGGAACCAGATTTGACGGATATCAACCTAAACTGGCTGTCGAGATGGCAACGATTGCAACAGCAGCTGCAATTATTCTGGAGAAGATGGTCGACGGAATACCTCTCGGAACTGCATTCCCGTGCCAAATGGAACCGGAAGCGAGACAACATAAACGTAGGAACGATGGTA